ATGGAAGAGTTGGGAGGAGGAAGGCGATGGAGAAGGAGGGAGGAGGGAGGCGATGGAGATGGAAGCAGGAGGGAGGAGGCAGGGTATGGCGGAGTATGGAGGAAGGAGGAGATGGAGAGGGAGGGAGGAGGGATGAGGCAAGGTATGCCGGAGGAGGGAGGGAGGCGATGGACAGGGGGAAAGGAGAGAAAAGATCGAGAGACAGGGAGGAGGGCGGCGACGGAGATGCAAGGAGGGAGGAGGCGAATGAGTGCAGAGAGTAAGTGTGCTAAGCGACTAGCAGCGGGCTGCAAAGCGCACCCAGGAAAAGAGAAGGTTACACTGTAGATGCCAACGCCGAAGAACAAGGAGGAGGAGAAAACAAGGAACAACAAGATGAAACAAAGAAAAAGAATAGGAACTTGAGAAGAGAAGCAGGGACTACTAAGACGTAGAAAGTTACTAGAATGAAGACGAAAAGAAAGGAGAATAATAAGAAGAAGAAATACTAAAGAAGAATAAGAGAAGGAAAAGCAAAAAAAAGCTCACCATTGCGCCGTTCGTGTGTGGCACGATGGTCTTTAATGGCGGAGGTATCAATGGCGCAGCAGACGTGACGACGGGATGCGGAGGAGGTTACACAGCAGAGGTGAAGACGGCGGCTGCAGCGTGATGACGACTGTCACATGTGATCTCGCGGGGCGGGAAGGGCACGACTGGCAGGGCGGACCACGGGCATGAGCGGGGTGGCCAGGTTTCAAATTTGAAACCTGGAGCTACCCTGCACCGTCCATCGGGACGATCAACGGCCCAGGTTGCAAAAAAAAAAAAGAGGAGTGAAATGTAGCCTTACCGGCCCTGAAAAAAAACCTACCGACTGCAAAATTTTCGTTTAGCATCCGGGCCAACCAACAGCGGCGCAGCTTTTCTTTTGAGGCCCGTTTGGCCTTGGCGCTGGGGAGGTCCAGGAGGCCGACCGGGGGGGTCGCCCGGCAGAGCGCCCGAGCGTCATTCCGGGCGCTGTGGGTTACCCCGTGCGCCCGGGTTGGAAAGCTAGCCGGGCATTCTAATTGGGTGAAGACTGTAGAGGACATGTTGTAGCTTCGCTTGCAAAAGACGAAATTTGACGTGTTGCAGTTGTGGTCTAGGCTACCAGAGTGGCCCGGGTCCACTTGATGTAACCCTGAGGCAAAAGTTGTTCAGTTTATTTTTCTGCATAACATAGTTTGTTTTCGTTTTTTTTTTTTTTTTTTTTTTTTTTTTTTTTTTTTTTGGCTGGGACCTTCCCTGGTCCTCACAAGGCCGGGCCGCCTGGGAAAATAGGGTGACCCGGGCGGCCCGGCTGGTAGCCTAGGTTGTGGTTCCTTCTTTTTTTTTTTTTTCTTTTTTTTTGGTTCCTTTTTTCTTCAGGGAACAGGTTTCTCAGCGGAGGTGGCAGGCAGGTCCATCAGGGTTGGACACTCGTGCCCGTCCCAACTCCAGCACGCTGTAGTAAGGACGCATGTGTTCGCCGAATTGGAACGCGCACGAGCATGGGGGTTGGGATGTGAGCACATGCGAGAGAGACTGCACACGCATGCCCTAGAGTTGTGAGACGTGCACGGCCACTGGAGATGGGATGCGTGCGAGCGCTGGAGTTGCAATGCGCGCGAAGCTGGGGTTGCGGCACAGGCGCGCTAGAGTCGGGAGGAGCACACTGGAGTTCGGATAAGTGCGCACGCTGGAGTCGCAAGGCGTGCACGCCCCAGAGTTCGGAGGCACAGGCACAATGAAGTCTGAATGAAGTAGGGATGCGTGTGCATGCCGGAGTAGGGAGGCACACTGCACTGGAGTTGAGAGACAGTCATGCATGCATGCTGGAGTAGCGATGCACAAACATGCTTGAGTTTTCGATGTGCACACGTGCAGATATGGGATGTGCATGTGCGCTCTGGAGGTGCGACGTGAGAAAGTGCCAGCATGGGTTGGGACGTGTGTCCCTGACGGAAGTGGCAGGCGCACAAGCGCTGGAATTGGAACGAATGCCCGCACAGCTGTGGGAAGCGAGCACATTCCGACTCCCATGTACGTGCGCGTCCCAACTCCAGCAAGCAAGTGCGTCCCAACTCCAGCAAGTGCACCGCCCTCAAATGTTTTTCTTTCTGGGTGCAAGCCAGGTGGACCTGGGGGTGTCCAGGCCGTACAGATCGTAGCTGACGTAACAAGACGGCAATGGTATTATCACGTTTGACTTGATACCTTGGCAACCCTCAGGAAAAGGACCAACATCTCCCTCCCTCCATAGTGCCCATATGGAACTTTCCCAAAGTAAAGCGTAAAATTGTCATAAAGGAAACTGAAAAAAAGATCATGCATTTATATCTAGCTAAAGCCCCAAGTGAGACGCACACAATAGTGGAGGTACAGTTTTCTCACTTCTCAAAGGCATCTGATGGGAGAGAACCAAGCTCCCGGATTTTCTTCATCAACTCCTCCTTCTTCAGAAACAAAACATTTCGCTTATTCAACAGCTGCTCCATATCCTTAGCTTCATCTTGAAGGGTTCGCTCGTATTTGTCCTCCAGTGCCTGTGTCACGATCACAGCATCCAACGTCAATTCACGTAGCAGACCAGAACAATACAAAATTCCAGGCTGCTTCGTCGGGCTTGAGGGTGGGACATAGATATGGGTAGCTAGTGTGAGACGTATCGAGAGAATAAAATAGGGTAGTCAAAAATACAACTGTCCCCCATATGAGGAGAAGACAGCTGTATTTTCTATGAAAAAAAAAAGAAGAAAAAGACAAAACATGAGCGATTCACACACACAGCTCTTTTGCGTAGCAAGCATAAGCATAGCAAGCAATGCTCGGTACACAGCGAGCATAGCGAGCATGGTGAGCAGAGAGAGAGAGAGAGAGAGAGAGAGAGAGAGAGAGAGAGAGAGAGAGAGAGAGAGAGAGAGAGAGAGAGAGAGAGAGAGAGAGAGAG